TGAGGAACAGCGAAAGGCGAGGTAAGGGGATGCGGCTGCGCGGCTCGGCGCGGCCCCAGGGCTGCCGTACCGGCGCCGCCGCCGCGCACCGGGATGCGGGTCTCGCCGCTGGAGCACATCGCTCGGGGCAGTTTTCCCCGGGGACAAACTGGGCACGGTTGTGTAAAGAACGAACAAATGCCCCCGGCACGTCCGGTCCCTCCCGGCAGCCTCGGCCGGGCCCGGTGCAGCGTTCGGAGACTCCGCGGGGGTTCTGCCGAGCGCACCGGAGCGCTCCTGCACGGGCACCCTGCGGGGAGCGGGGCCACTTCTGAGGCTTGTTGGGTTTTATTCCCTTCCCCATTGTCACCGGGTAATTATTTAAATCTCCATCTTGGAAAGTTGCATTTCACCCGGGGCGGCCGCGCAGGCACTTCCCGGAGCCCGGGCGTGCAGAGCCCGCGCCCCCTCCCGCAGCCGCGGCCTGTCCCCTCGCCCCATTGTTGGCAGATTTGGGCATTAGAAAAGCAAAAGAAAGAAAACCGGAGGGAGATGCGGGATCGCTGTGCCGGCCCTGCACCTGCCCGCCGCAGCCCGCCCGTCCCAGTCCCGTGCGGCAGCTTTACGGGGCTTTGCATGATATTTGCTGTTGTATGTGCAAAGTTCCCCTCTTTATCCTCTTTTTGCTTTGGGATGCTGGGGCTGGAAGGCAAGGAGGGGCGGGGGGGGTGAAAGAAGAAAATAAATAGAAGCATCCAGGAGCAGAGCTGCCTGGATTTGAGGCGATTTCAATAAGAAAAGCTGTTTCTGTAAGCGGGATGCGCGTTTCGGTGGCGGGGGTTCTTCTCCCCTGGAGCATCCTTATTAAAAGCAATTAGTTAATACAGTTTTTACCCTCGGAAAGTCCCATGCCGCCCTAGTCCGTGCCCCGCGTCTCATAGGGGGAACGCAGCCGAGACCGGTACCGCGGGTGAGGCGAGCACCGCTGCCCGTTTCGGGATCCGTCCCTCCCCAGCGAAGTTTTGCCTGCGAGGAAGCAAATGAAACCTGCAGGAACGGCCCCTTTCCTGCACCAGCTGAGCCCGAAATAACCTTGCAAGGGAAGAAAAAATACACATAAAATTAAATCGAGCTCCGGCGAACGAAATCTTCCCTGATAGCGCCTGAAAATAAATGGCGATAGGTTTCTCTGGCTGTGCAGCCCCTCACGCCTCCCGCACGCGTTTGGCTTTGGGAGATCGCACAAAATTCGTCGTTTTGGGCAGGCGGGGGGCACTCGAGCATTTTCCTCCCCCTTATTCGCAGCCGGGGGAGCGGGGGACGAACTTCGGACGAAGCTCAGGTGAAGGAGAGACCGGGGAGGACAGAACGGCAGCAACTGGCTGCGGGATGGGGGAAACGAGGGGCTCCTCCGGCGTTAAAAAATAACAATAATTTAAATATTCCATGATTTATTTCCAGACCCGTGTCTCTTTTATTTTTATTTCCCTTGTTCCTTATTTTCCTTCCCTTTCTTTTCCTGTTCTTTTCCTTTCCTTTTAATTTCCCTTTTCTTTAATTTTTCCCTTCCTTTTCTTTTACTTTTTTTCCTTTAATGCAGCTCAAACGGGGTCTCGCGGTTAGGAGGTAACTGTGTCACTTTATAGCCCCATTAGCAGCCATTAGCAGGGAGGGGGGGCCGGGGGAGAAGCAAAGCGAAGCGGAGACAAGACCAGAGGGAGGAAAACACCGAAATAAAACAACCAGGCAGAAAGCCAGCACTTCCCCTCCCCAAAACACACCAGAGAAGGGGGTGTCTGGAGGGAAGTGTCGCGGGGGGTCAGGGTCCAGCCCGGTCACTCCCGGCTGCTCGGGTCCGAGCACCCAGAATAGGGAAAAAAGGGAAATCAAAAGGAAAAAACCCAATCCCGTGTGCGCGGATGGGGAAAGGGGAGTTCTGCCTTCGCTTCTGCCCCGGCGTAGGTGTCAACTCCATCACACGGGGCTCCTAACTGTTGCTAAAACACGTTGTCGTCTCCCCCCCTCTCCCTTAACGATATGACATCACTTGTCAATCAAATCAAAATAACCAGTTGTGCTTCCAGAGCTCGGAAAGCTCCTGATTAAAACCGAAAAAAAAAAAGAAAGAAATGCAACGGGAATAACAAAATGAAGTTAATAAACCGGAGTTAATGCCCGGACCCGCTGCCTCCCCAGAGGGTTGTGGTGGAGCTGCTCACCGGGACGCGGGTGCGGAGCTGCTGCTGCTGCTTCTCCCGACGGGGAGTTAATTCAATTAACCGCCAGCCCTGCCGCCGGGGCATTAGCGGCCGAGCCCGCAGCGGCGGCCGGGTCGGCAAACGCTGGCAGCGAGGCCGGGAAGCGGCGGCGATAGAAACAGCGAAATAAAATCAAGTGAAACCCTCGGAGGCGGCTGGAGGAAAACCTCCCGCGGGAATTCAGCCGCTTCCTCAGCTGAAATCGTCCATCCCTGATAAAGGGATCCTTCAGTTACAGAGGGATTTAGAAGGGGGGGGGGGTGCGAGGAAAGGCGCCGGACCCCGGCTCATGAATGGCGGGACCCAACCCCAGGAGCTGCCGTCTCCGTCTACTGCTTCGCCCCTTTTGTTTCTCTTTGGCCCCCGGTAACCCGAGACAGGGGCTTCAGGGAGCCCCGGCCGGGCAGCGTCGGGGTCTGCCTCGCCATAAATCAAACCGCCTGATTAATCTTTACAATTTGTCTTTTAAAACAAACACGAACGAATTATCAGCTCGTTAACTGCGATTTTATCACCTGCCTAAAACAAACAGCCCACCCCGCTCCCCCCCCCCCCCCAAGAAAAAACCCAGCGCGGCCCCATGCTGGTGGCAGCGGGCAGTAATTAAACAGCCATATTGATTAATAAGGGCGCAGCGAGGCGCTGGGCCCGCTCCGGCCGGGCCCGGGGTGATCCCGGCTGCTCCGGGAGGGATCGCGGGCACGGAGCGCCCGGCTCCGGCAGCCCCCGGGCTGCGGGGACAACGAGACGCCGAGGGGACCGACCTGCAACCGGCCGCGTTCAGTTTATACTCACCCTTCCTTCGGAAAATAAAAAGAATAAATTCCTTTGGGGGGGATATTTGAGTGGATTTGTGGGGGTTTTGATGCGTGTAGAAAGAAAATCGCTTCGGAGGTCGAAGCCGGTTTTTTCGAAAGCTCCCGGGTTCTCTCGCTTTTGACTTTCCTTTTTCTTTCTTTCTTTTTTTATTGCTTTGTTTCCCTTTCCTCCTTGGCACCTCCGGCCCTGGGCTCCTGGGCACCCCAAGGCCCGGCCCCGCTTCCCAGCCCCCCAGCCCCAGCGCTGGCCCCGGCCTGCCCCGACCACCCAGCCCGGCCGGAGAGAAGCCGGCTCCGCAGCCCCTGCCGCGGCCGGCAGCCAACCGAGGAGCTGCCGCCCGGATCAGCTGCTTGGCACCCTCCCCAGCGGCGGGGGGCGAGGGGCACCGCTAAGCCCCCGAAGGCAGGGCCTTGAGGAGCCCTGGCTTCGGGTGCAAGAGGAAAGGATGCGGGGAGAGGGGGAGCAAAGCCGGCTCCCCCAGCCTCCGCAGAAGCCATCCCGGGCCACGTTGCTTGTTCACCTCTCTGGATCTGCGTTGGGGGTGCCCTTGGGGGATGCTTGGAGTGGACAAGGGGTGATGGTGGTGGGGGAATAGCTATGGAGGGAGCCGAGTCGCTCCGGCCAGACGGGCTCGGCAGCGAGGAAAAGGAGTTTTATTATTATTACCGTCATCATTATTATTATTATTGTTATTATTAAAAAGAAAAAAAAAGTTCATTTCCTGGCGAATTTGGCAGTGACGGGTGACGTCAGAGCCCCGGCGTCGTGGTGACTGGGGCGGCCGGGGCAGCACCGGCACCATCCTCCTCGTCCTCCGGGCCCCCCCGCTGGGCCCCGGCCCGGCCCCGACCAGCTCCCGCGCCCCCTCCCCGGCCGCGCCGTCGGGCTGGAGCCGCGCTCGCCTCCCCCCTGCCCGCTCCCGGGTGAGGGGCAATTCCCTCACCCCGGGTCCCGCTCGGAGCTCTACGGGATCGGGACGAGCTGTTCCCATTTCCCGCGAAAGCTGCGACGGAGTCACGGGTGGGCAGTGCAGGGGAACGGGACCCGCACAGCGCCCGGCCGCGCTCCGGGGCGCGGGCAATCTCTGGCTTTCTCATTATTATTAGTATTAATAATAACATCATTTTCTGCCCCCAAAGCGGGTGGCTTTGTCCGCACCTTCGAGGGTGGCAGAAGCCGATCTGCGCCGCGAACTCCGCGGAAAACGCCTGTTGAACCGGGCTGCGCCTCTGCCCCGGCTCACGAGTAACTGCGAATGTTAAAACTGAATCTTTGGAGGGTTCTGTTGGTGGTGGTTTGGTTGTGGGGTTTTTCAATTTTATTTTAAGAGGAGAAGCAGAACACGCGGGGTTTCGGCGCCGCAGCCCCGTCGGGGAGGCCGCAGCCGGTTCCCGGCCCCCCTCGGCTCGGCTCCCCGCTGCCGCAGCCTCCAGCGAGCCCCAGCCAGGCCCGGCCCCAACACTGCCGCCCCGGGAGCCGGGCAGGACCCGTCCCTTATCTGCCGCCTGCCCGGCGGGGCCCCGCTCTCTCTTTTCACCCTGCCGGGCTCTGCGGAGCAGCGCAATTATTTGGTTTAAATTTATTTATTTCCCTGTTCGGACAGTTATTTCAAACTAACACGATGTGAACAGCCACGCTGGGGTTAGCCCCGCTCCCGGCTGCGCGCTGCTGTGCCTGCTTTAAGGGAATTTTAACGTATTCATCTCCCTGGTGCCGACTTCCACCCCCCTAGCCCCGGGCATCCCGGCGGCGGCGCTGGGAGCCACGATCGGGGACGGCACCCGGCGGAGCCGGCCCCATCACCCGCTCCGGTCCCACCGCACCAAAGCGTGGGCCCATGCCCCTCCGCATCCCCGCACACCCCGGCGGGACCCCCCCCATTTCTCCGTCCCCGCCCCGCAGGGGCGTGCAGCGCCCAGGCAGGGAAAGCCCCCTCGGCGCTGCCGGAGGATGCTGCGGGGGGGCAGGAGAAGGAGGAGGGGGGTCCGCGCTGCTCCCCCCCTCCCCAGGCCGGCTCCGTTCGGGCCGGGGGTGCGGCTGGGGGCGGTGTGGGGCGGCGGGATCTGCGGGATCGGCTGCCGGGATTGGCTGTCCCGGCCGCCCCGCCGGCCCTGCGCGCCCCGGCCCGTCTGCGGCGCCGCGGCCAGCTGGCGCCAGCGCTCATATAGGATGCGCGGGGATGGGACCGCGCCGGCCAGAGCAGCGGCTTTGCCATCTGAGTAACACCCTGCAGCTCCGCTCCCCCCGCGCTCGGGGCTTCTCTTATTTTTAATTCCCTCCCCATTTTTGCCCCCCTCCTTCCTCCCCTCTCCGCCGTGTTCGCGGTCTCCAGGCCGGCTCCCACCGCCAGCCGGTAAGTGCGGGGCGCGGGGGGGGCCGCTGCCAGGGCGCACTCGCTGCTTTCACTAAACACCCTTCTCCTCCCTCCCCTTCGCCTTCTCCCCCCTTCTTTCTCCCCCTCCTTTTCCTTTTGTGTCAGTCCTAGTTCTTGCTGGCACTACTCTGTATTGGATCTGCCGTTCTTCCTTTTTCACCCCGCTTTTGAAGCCAGCTGGGAAAACTCCTGTTGACGTTTGTAGGGAGAGCGGGGAGCGGGGGGAAAGGAAGCTTTTTGCTTTTTCCTTTTCTTTCTTTTTTTTTTTTCGGGTAAAGAGTTTGAAATGGGATCTCTGTTTATTCTGTGGGGCAATGAGCAGGGAGGGCGCAAGGAGAAGACTTTGGGGGAGAGGACATTTTTGGAAGGGGGGGAGGGGCTCTGCTTCTCCCTCCCCATCCATGTACCGCCCGGTGCAGCGCTCCCGAGCCCCTCACCCGTCCGTCTGTCCCTACAGGTGCTGCCCGGACCTGCCGCCGCCCGCCTGGACAGAGAGACACGGTGACTCCGGGGGGCTCCCCCAACCCTTCCCAGGACCCACGCCAGCCGCCCGGCCATCTTCTCCTTAAGAAAAGCCACTCTATCTCCTAAATCTCACCAGCAGCGCCAACCCCCACCCCCTAACCCCCCCTCCCCGAGCAGCACCGGCCCGCTCCTGCTCCGGGGCTGGGTGGGAGGGGAGGCCCGAGGCCATGGAGGTGGCCACAGATCAGCCTCGCTGGATGGCCCACCACGCCGTGCTCAACGGACAGCATCCCGAGAGCCACCACCCCGGACTTGCTCACAATTACATGGAACCAGCGCAGCTCCTACCTCCGGATGAAGTCGATGTCTTCTTCAACCACCTGGACTCTCAAGGCAATCCCTACTACGCCAATTCCGCCCATGCCAGGGCCAGGGTCTCCTACAGCCAGGCACACGGTAAACCGGCACCCGCGGCCCGGGCTGGAGGCGAGCAGTGATGACTGGGGGGACCCTCCGGTGTTTCCGAGCAGGGGGGGAAGGAGACCTGAGAAAACAGGATAGAAAGGGAGGCACGTCTGGATTTTAACCCTAGAGATAACCGAGTACTGGCGGAGGGGAGGGAAAGAAAGGGGGGAGGTTAGAAAGGAAGGGGAAATAGTGTGCGCACAGGCTAAAACTTCTCAGACACGGCTACTTCCCGGATGCAAAATACAAACCGGTTCAAATCGGCGATGGGTTTTATCTGGGGGAGGTTTTAGGAGCCGAAGACAGCGCGTTGCAGCAGCTTGGAAGATGGAGCAGAAAGGGGTTTGCTGCTTACCCCCGGGCGGGGTGGGGTGGGAGGAAAGGGGAGATTTAACCCCTGTCCCGGGTGCCTGATTCCCTCCTGTGCCCACCGCACGCCCTCGCTGGGCTAGACGGTGTCCCCCTCGGAAGGGATCGGGCGAAGGGGCCTTTGTGCCAGCCCGGCTGCGGTTCTCCGGGCCCTCTCCAGTCCCCGCAGGCCGAGCTGCTGCCGAGGGACTGGGGCCTTCCCCTGCCGAGCGGCCCCGCGCTGATACCGATCACTCTTGTGTCCCTACAGCCCGCCTGACCGGGAGTCAGATGTGCCGGCCTCACCTTCTCCACAGCCCCGGGATTCCTTGGCTGGACAGCAGCAAGGCGGCACTGTCCGCCCATCACCACAACCCCTGGACCGTCAACCCCTTCACCAAGACCCCCCTGCACCCCTCGGCGGCCGGAGCACCCGGGGCCATCTCGGTGTACCCGGGTAGCAGCACGTCCAGCACCGCCTCTGCCTCTTCGCTCACCCCGGCCTCGCACTCCGGCTCCCACCTCTTCGGTTTCCCCCCGACCCCTCCCAAGGAAGTGTCCCCGGACCCCAACTCCACCAGCGCTGCTTCCCCATCCTCCTCTGCTGGGGCCAGGCAGGAGGACAAAGACAGCATCAAGTACCAAGTCTCGCTGTCGGAGGGGATGAAGATGGAGAGTGCCAGTCCGCTGAGGAGCAGCCTTGCCAGCATGGGGGCCCAACCCTCAACCCACCACCCCATCCCCACATACCCCTCCTATGTGCCAGCCGCACACGACTACAGCAGCAGCCTCTTCCACCCTGGCAGCTTCCTGGGGGGCCCTGCATCCAGCTTCACTCCCAAGCCACGGAGCAAGGCCAGGTCCTGTTCGGGTAAGTGCTGGGGTTTGATGTGGGGTGCTTGTGCCTGGGGACAGAGGGGCAGGTGGCAGCTTGCTCCCCCTTTTCTGGAGTTTTTTAAGCGAAGAGATAGAGCTTGTTCCAGGCTCCCGTGGGTGCCAATGCACCCACAGCGGCCGCTGAGCCCCGGCATGCTCGGAGGGGATGTGGGGACCGGTGCAGTGAGAGCCGGCAGATGCACTGCGGCAAGGAGGGATTAGTAGCTTAAATGTATGCTTCCCCTCAGAGCAAAGCTGACCTCGGTCCCCCTCGGCCGGTCAGACCCCCGTGCTGGCCACGCGTGGGGACTGTGGGCCAGGGATCTTCCTCCCGCAGTCACTTCCACGGCTCCTCATCAGCGCTAAGCCGGCCCAATGCAGGGCGAAAGCGAAACCGCCCCGGCCAGGCCGCTCCCCATCGCCCGGGGCCTGATTCCCTTCACGTTTTACAGGAGCAAAAGTTCAAATGTAGTTTACATACCAGCGCAAGGACGGAGGTGTCGGTCAGCGCTCCCCTTCCCCAGCACAACTTTAACTAGAAAATACCCTTATTTCTTTTCCCCTCTGAACCAGCCTTATCTGTGCTTCCAAACGACTTTCCCATCTCACAACCCCTCCTTGCATTTCTTCAGACCTAAACCAGCAAATTAGGTGATGGGCAAAGTTTTAATCCCCCTCTGCAATCCCACTAAATGTGCAACTGGACAGATTAATTCAAATAATCGGTGTAATTCCACTCACCTCCCTTTTAACATCCTCGGCAAGGGAAGGAGATGCACGGCCGAACATCGGGGCTGGATTCAGATAGCCCTTAAAAGAAAAGGGCTACATAAGCTTTGTGTGTATATTCTTGCGTATCATTGCACATATATGCTTACGAAGACACTACATGGATTTATTTTTAAAGCAGACAATAATTCAGAAATGTGAACTCTTCCGAATTTTACAACAAAAATAGCAGCTCTTGCACGAGCTCCTCAGCTCTGCTTCAAATGGCTCCTCCGAGAGGAAAAATACCATCTCCTATTATTTAAATGCAGTTGCTACTATGCATATATATTTATTTTTATATATATATACACACATAATGGCCACTATGTATGTATATTTATTTTTAGGTACATAGTAGCCACTATGTGTATATATTTATATCATAAATAGGTACATTTTAGTAGTGCAGAGAGTAAAAAGCGAAGGCAGTTTACAGCCAGAGCCTGGAAACAGTGAAGAGCCAGAACTCCGAAGGTAAAGGGACTTGAGCAGCTCTAGATTTTGTCCTGAAGCTGCCGATGACTGTGCTGGACGGAGGAAGTGAGCACCTATTTTCCTTGTTTGTTTAATGGGTTTTGGGTAGTGGGATTTTCTTTGGCCGTGCGGGAGCCCCCGTGCAAGGAGCTGGGGAAAGTTCGTGACCACTCCGTGTTTTTGTAGGAGAACTAAGCCTCACGACACGCCGACTCCTGCAGCTTCCTGCCCTAGGAGGGACAAAAGCTCCGAGCGCAGCGCCGCAGAGCTCCCCTCATTTTTCACTCTGGACTGTGTTGTTTAAAAGCCACCCACTCCCTAGATTAAAGAAGACACAAACCCCGCTGAACTCGGCATGGCCTGCTCCACTTATTAGCTAGAAGAATTTCCTCTCCAGTTAAATACTGTAGGATTTGCATAAACTATATTAAGAGAGATTTCTATATTAAGCAGACCTGCCCTCGAACCGTCAGAGGCAAATGAACTTTCAGCAGAGAGCTTTCTGAGGCAGGAACACACATATCTAGGAGGTACATGCTGGGTTTAATACAGCCCTGCTGCAATGCCATGCTCCCCACTAAAACTAATAACGAAGCAGTATAAGGTAAACTGCTCCCTTCCAAACCCAAACGGTGGTGTTGAAAAATTGCTGAAGCAGAGAACTCCAAGCCTGTTTTTTACAGTGATTTCCAGAGTGCTCGCTAAAGCTGGGCTTTCTCAGAGCTCGGCATTAACAACGTTTTTCTGCCTTTAGAGCAGAAAATCACAACGGAGCCTTTGGCATTCTGTATCCATTCCCAGTCTGCTCGGCTTCACTTTCTCCTCCCGTAGCATTAGCAACAAAAAGGAAAGCACAGGGCAGGAGGTCTTTTTTTGCTTGGATTTAATTCTACAAAACCTCTCCCCCTGCTTCTCTCTTTCACATGCTGCGTGTCTGCAGGTGTGTGTGTTAGTGCTTGGAGAATGCAGGATCTAACACTGGAGCGCAGCGGTAGGGCAGGGCAGTGATGCCCAGCATTGGGATGGTAACTTCCACCGGACACAACTCAGTGTTATTCCACACCTGGCAGAGAGCGTTGCCCACTTCTGATCGTGACATAAAATCCGTGCTGGAGTCCGGGTGTTCTCGGAGCTGAGCTCCTTGCTGCATGTGCTGTAGATGTCACTGCTGTCTGATTGTGCTTGAACTAACATGCTGTTTGACTCCCGGGAAATGCCTACAGGACAATGCAAAAAGCTTTTGTGAATTTGTTTTTAAAGAAAGAAATCCGGTTTCTTCGTGTTTCCATTTAGAAGGCAGAGAGTGTGTGAACTGTGGAGCAACTGCTACCCCTCTCTGGAGAAGAGACGGCACCGGGCATTACCTGTGTAACGCTTGCGGGCTCTACCACAAAATGAACGGTCAAAACCGACCTCTCATTAAACCCAAGCGAAGGCTGGTAGGTGGCTCTGTTTCTCCTGGGTTTCGGGATCAATTAGGCAAGGGGACCACACACACAGGCACAATTCAAACTCAAACATGTCTCAGCCCCTGCCCGGAGCCGAGCCCTGTGGTACAAGGGGTCCAGTACATGGGGTCCGGCACACCGGGGTCACACGGAGCCTGGGGCAGTGCTGCCCCAGCAGCCCCCCATAGCCTCCCTGCCGCTCCCAATCCACAGGGGGTATCGTGTATCCGGCTCCCCGGTCATCCTGGGATGACAGCTTTTAATTTAATTCCTCATTTATTTGGCCTCCTGGGAGCTTTGGGCACGCACCGGGAGCGAAAGGGTTATCAGCGCAATGTCCTCCACCAGCTACTAAACAAAAAGGGTTCCAGCTCCAAAAAACCAAAACAAATCAGATGAGTCAAAGCTACTGCTCCTACTTAATAATTATTTGTATAAAGGCCATGAAGTAATTTTCACTCTTATATTCTCTGGCAATATTAATATTAGTTCCCTCCCCAGACAATCCCCTACTGTTTAAAAAAAAAAATCCCATTATTTTTCCATGGAGTCACCTACACTTTGTATTTTCATTTGAGTGATTTAAAAAAAAAAAGTCCTTTCTAAGCTCCTGGTAGTAGTTTCCTATCCGGATATCTGCACGGTAAAGATAAGGAAACTTTGTGTATCTGTTTCCTGACTCTAAAAGCTTTAGAGAGTTTCTATAGGCGAGCCTTGCCAGTCATGCTTGCTGTTTTGAAATTTCTAATACACTCCACTCCGCAAATAATGCTTAAAATGCTAAGAATAATAAATATATTTGTTGGAGCTTTGTGATTTATGGTGCCCAAGTCTCTCAGCTATTCGTGGGCACGTTTCAATGAGGTTTGGAGAGCTGAACATTGGCATTGTTGCTCTAAGGCTGGGACGGGATACTGAAGATTTCTGTTGTGAGTCAGAATTTCAACTATGCAAGCTCCTTAATGACTGGCTTCTAAAGTGACTGACACATAGAAAAATGTTAAGACAACAGTGTAACATTATCGTCTCTCAGGCTCAAGTGCTTTCCAGCCTGAATGGGACAGGCCATAGAGTTAAGCAGCGCAGTTGAGTATCAGTGAAGCCATCTCAAATATGCAAACACAGATCTCCACCTTCCAATACGTTGGGGGCTTACACTCAGCTCAGTGCCCAGGGTCTGGGGGGCACTCGGGAGGTTTTCTCTCAGCGTAGTTTGTTTTAATGTTTTGTTTTGTTGTAACTGATTTACAGCTTTGTTTATTGCCCCTTTTTCCACTGGAGTTTGCTTGTTTGCGGGGGAGAGGGGATGGCCATCTTTGGGGATTTGTTCATCTGACGTGCAATGGCAAAGAGATCATGTTCATAATGTCAGGGTTTGGACGTCTGGCATTAATTGTGTTTGGGTTGCCTGAGTGCAGAGGCAGTGGGGGGTACCCCCTCTTTCTGCCTTTGGCCTGTTCTCATGGGCGAGTAAGGGACTCAAGTACATGAGTCTCCAAGGGCCTGATTCTTGCCTTAAGCTACTGAGCCGTCCACCAGCGTTGAGGAATTTAGAGGGCATTGGAGTAAATCAGGAACAAGTAAGAACAGAACCCGGCACTCTTACGTGAGCCTGGTCAGTCTGGCCTTTGCACGGTACCAGCAGCGGGGAAGTGCACACAGTCCTCGTGTGAGAAACCCATCACTCCAGGACTGCTCCTGGCCCTGTAACGCTGCTGCTTCTTCACCCCATGGCTAACGGCAAAAACATCCAGGGAGCAGAGCCCCAGGGAAACCACCAGGATTGATCCACGTTAGAAAGTAGTCTCTGCTGTGTTAAACACACACCGAGTCCTCAGCATTGCACAAAACTTGCCTGAATTTTAGTGCTTCCAGAGGCAGAGCCGAAGCATCCTAATACAAAACTAATTCCCAAAACATGGGGTGCAATTAGCCCGTCCGGAGCGCTCCATCGATGCCGTGCACGCACAAAGAGCACATTATTGCGGGGTCTGGCAGACAAGGGCCCATCCAGGGATTACTGCTGCCTGCTGTTTTACTTTTCCTGCTCTTGTCTGGGGAGGTGGGGGAATGTTTGGGCATTTCTCTTCTCCCCCACCTTGGTTTCAGCACAACAATACTTTTAGGAAAGGGTGGTGGAGTTTTGCTCTGTTTTTTTCCCCTTGAAGACAGTTGTTTGAGGGCCTGTCAGGCAAGGCACTGAGTAGGGACAGGGGCGGCAGCCGGGTCAGCGCAATCATTGCTGCAAGGCATGAAATTTGGTTTGCTAAATATTTAAAGAAAGTTGGAGCCGGTTTTGTTTTCCCCCTTTCACTTGTAAATGGAAACTGAATTTTCAGTGATGGCTCTGATAAATACTGCACCCAGTTAAGCAATGCGGTTGGTTTTCTTTTGTGTCCATCTTTAAAGGGACAGCAGGGGTAAAAATCACATTCTTTAAGATCATTCCCCTCTTTTCAAACCCAGCCCCGACGCTGGCACAAACTGAATTGGTTGTTTAAAAAGAAAAGGCAAATAGATTTTCAGGACAAAATCTAGAATCTTGCAAAGGGAAAACCTGGACTCATGAAGTGATGTTGCCCTTCTGCAATTTTTGTGCCGTTAGAGATGCATTGTTTCTGTCCTTACTTCCCCTGCATGCACGGTGCCATGGGGCTGGAGGCTGCTGTCTGCATCTGAGACTACCTGGATTTAAACAAAACCCTAACTGTAAAACTGAAGGAGCTTTCCTTCAGCCTTGACGCTGTGTAAAATCATAGTAACTCATTCTACCCAACCCAAACACCCAGTCCAACCTGACCTTTGTGATGTGTGAGGATCTCCCTCCTCCTGCCAACACATTTTAATGTTCTTTTTCTTTCGGTTAGTCAGCGGCCAGGAGAGCAGGGACTTGTTGTGCCAACTGTCAGACAACCACCACAACCTTATGGCGACGTAACGCAAACGGGGACCCAGTTTGTAATGCCTGTGGACTCTACTATAAATTGCACAATGTGAGTATTTACTCATCTCATGTGTTGCTGCTTGCCCAGCCGGGATTGATGTCTTAACTGCGTGGTGTACACCAGGCTTTTATTGGTTTCAGGGTTTGTGTTGTTGTTTTATTCCTTCCCCCGTCTCTAAGGTTCCCCTGGGAAGTGACAGCCGTTCTTTGTCAGCGCAGTGATGCTAAGTTCAGTGACATTACAATGTATTAGCTTGGCTTCTAACGCTTGGGCAAAACAGAGCTACCACACTTGGTTTTAACTAAGCGTGGTTTGTGTGCTGCTTCCCTCCAGAAACACAGAGGTCACTTGGAATGGGCTCTGAGGAAAAATTAATCCTGATGGGATGTCTTCCTTGTGAATTTTTTTCTTTAAATAATTAAATCTAGGGCTTTGTTTTAATATGTATATGATTAAAGAAATTAATCCTAAGCAGGAATCACTTGACATGTTGGAGCATTATTTAAACTGTAATAGAGGTTAGTGGTACAAGATCGCTCATGTTTTAGGACTGAATTTGGGTCAAAGTGTGCCTCTGAGTTGGATCTCTTCTATTAGGAAACGAATGAGGACTGAGGGTAAGCCTACGGGAAAGAGCTGTCGGCTGCCAAATGCACTTCCATTTGTTTTTCATGTCTAGGGGGTTTTTGTGTGTATGGTTTTATTAAACAACTCATACAAATCAATATAAACAAGTTCTGCAGAAAGAAACACCTTTTTTTGTTTTGGCCAGAAAAAAGGTCTCCATCCAGGAAAAACACACTGGGGCTGTCCAAATGTTTTCATTTTTGCACAGTAAGGTCATTTTGTCTGCATGAGCCTGATTTTCTCCTTTCTTGCAGGTGAACAGGCCTCTGACCATGAAGAAGGAAGGAATTCAGACCAGGAATAGGAAAATGTCCAACAAATCAAAGAAAAGCAAGAAAGGCTCCGAGTGTTTTGAGGAACTGTCCAAGTGCATGCAGGAGAAATCCTCTCCCTTCAGCGCTGCTGCCCTTGCTAGTCACATGGCTCCCATGGGGCATTTGCCACCTTTCAGCCACTCTGGACACATCCTTCCAACACCTACCCCCATCCACCCATCTTCCAGCATCTCATTTGGACATCCACACCCATCCAGCATGGTTACAGCCATGGGATAAAACCCGATGACCAAGAGACCCACCCAGAGATTAAAGAACATGGGGCTTTGCCTAAGACGACACCAAGTAAGAAAATGTTCTGCCAAGAGGAGAATGTAGGGATGACAAAGGGGATCTTTGCTCCCATGTGGTTTAACTCTTAATGCTGGACTAAAACCTTGCAAGTGATGGGTCTTCTGCAGAAACGTAGTGGTGCCTGTAATGCACTTTGCCCCCTCAGGTATAAGGAAAAATAACTCACCTGTTCGATACTTCATGGTCCAGCAGGAAGCAAAAGGTGGCAGAAGCTGAAGGAAAAGGCTTGGAACTGGCTTTCCTTTCTCTCTTTGTCATTACTGTGAATATTGTAAAGAGATCTAAGCAGCCTCCCAGGATGGAACCGGCTCACTGGACGCCAGACATGCTGGATTTCTATCATGGACTTCAGTTGGGATGGGGAAAAAAAAGAAGAAAGAAAGAAAAAAAAAAAAGAGGACATCTTTTAAAACCGTAATTTTTAAAAGGAAATCAGACACAAAGTCATATTTATTTTGCTCTTGTTTTCCACAAAAAGCCTCAACCCCTCTGATTGCATGTTCCTGTGCTGTTGTTTGCAATGGCTACCACCCTGTGAGCAAACCTGCCTTCGAAACAAGGGGAGAGGGGGAACATACTCAGCAGCCCCTTGGATTAGCTCCATCTATCTTCCATACCAAAATATCTATAGGAAGGAGAGGAAGATTTGGGGGAAACAAAGCAAATAATACAGAATTTTAACGTGCCCAAGCTGGTGATTATTTTAACATGATTTTGTCATTCTTTTCCCTAACATGAAAGACTTTAAAAAACTCAGCCCCTCTCCCAACTACCCTTTTATTCCTCAAACTAAACAGCTAGATTGGACAAACCATTGGGAAAGAGCTCTCGGGGAGGCAATCCTGCACTAGCAAGGGGTGAGACACAGGCATTGCCCAAAGTGTCAGCTAAATTCTAGCACAGCTAAAACCGTCACAGAGCATAAACCCATCCAACCCTCAGACTTCAGAGGTTGAAGCATTTTGTTCTGTTGTGTCGGCAGCTGTTGCTTAAGAATGCAGATGAGCTGCTTGGGTAAGCCTGGGGCAGCGTGGCCATCACCACACTGGGCACCAGGGCCCCGTGGGCTTCACAGGGAGGAGGAAGGGCAAAAACACATTGAGATCACTGGAGAGGGGAAAGAGAGAGACAATCAGTTTGAGCTTCACACACCCGTCAACCCCCAGCCCCTGCGGCAGCTGATGGGACGAGGGAAGCGCCCGTTTCCCGCAGCGTATTTTATAGGAAAAACTAACAAAAAAAGGAAAAAAAAAAAGATAAATTAAATCTAAATCTCCCATTATTAAAGCATATTGTACGTAAATGACCGAAACCCAAGCTATTGCCAATGTGAAGTGTATTCTATTGATTGTTATGATCCGATGCCTCTCGTGAACACAAGCTCCAGTATAACATACAATGTACATATTTAGCTATACTTCTGATGAAAGGCCCCCGCGAACAGAGGGGTTTGATGATGTAAACCACGTAAGCTTTACTCTGTGACAAGCTTTTTCTTTTATTTTTTTAATTTTAACTTTTTTGTTGTTGGGATTTTTTGTTTTTATTTTTTTTGTTTTTGGATCAAGCCAATTGTATCTTTCCTGCAAAAGTCCTGCTTTAAAGAAAAAAAACCCAACAGAACGAATAAAAATGGATGTACGTTAATTTTCTTTTCTAAGCCTGTAATTCCAATATTGATAATGAATTAAGAACCAAGCAGCCGTGAAAATCCTGCTTTCCTCCTTTTTCTGGTCTCCGTAGGCATATAGGTGCACTTTGTAAAGAAGTGGAAATAAGCGGGGGACTAAACTGGTTGGGAGAAATCGGAAGCATTTTCAATCTACTGAGGGAAAAAAATTGGGACCTTTTCACTTTTTAACCTTCTCCGATGGTACAGTTGGACGTTATTTGTACCCAACTCAGATTCCTGTAGGATTGGGGCAGGGGGTGGGGATGGGATGTGGGTGGAAGACAGGGATTACTGATACAGTTGACAAAGTGCAATATATTGTCAGTCACTGCAGCATAGACAACGGCAGTCGAGATTTAAATTATTTTGTACTTGTATCAGCATAAAAAAAAAAAATCTTCAGTATTTTCTGGTTTTAATTTTTATTTTGCTTATTTTTGGATTAGTGACCTAAGTTATTGTTAATTCTGTACAACATGTTTATATATTGTCTGTAAAAAGTGTATGCTTTCCTCATATTCCTTCCAGGTGAATATTGCTAAGAATAATAAAATACCTTTTTTGTGAAAGTACCTGTGCCCAGCTCTGTCTCATAAAGGCACCTTGGAATAGGGAGAGAGGAAAAATGATCCGGGCATTGTTGTGAGCAGAATTATTAGCTTCAACTCTTCTGCAGAGTGGCCTATTTATGTTTCAAAACCCTACCAGGGTAGGACAAAAAAGGAGTTGTGAATGATTTAGTATAAAAAGCACAGGTACAAAAGCTCCTTCTCTGCTGTTGTTTTGGGGCGATGGGATCATGCAGTTAAACGCACTGAAGTTTCTAAACCAGTGTGAAGTCTAAGGCAGCAGCCCATGAACTGCGGCTTCTCAGGGGGGATTTGTGTTGGATCTTTTGGGGTTGGTTTTTTAAAGTTTTTGGAGAAATAGTTTTCAATTAAAAAGAAGTTTTTAAAGCACCATAAATGCAGAAAAGCAGCTGGGGCTCAAGGCAGAGCCTGTATCAGACCGGGCATGGCTCTGCCAGTCGTCGCACTGTCGTAACAGGCAACACCATCAACCTGGAAACCTGTTTCTTACCACTTGGCACCATCAGTGGTGTAAAGGCAGCAAGGGGGTTGACCAGGCTGGAGCTGCTCCATGCTGTCCCGGGAACAAGGGGTGCAGCCGTGGGTTGGCACAAGGATGGCAAAGGGCTCTTAACAGGCAGCTTCCCAATGGCCAGAACTTTGCGGCTGCTTTCATCACGCGGTCGAGTCCGACCCACACAAGGAGCTCCTTGGGGCCTTACCAAGTAAACAGTACAGAGCTCCCTGCCTTGTGTAGGGCTGAGTACTGCTGCTTCTAAAACCATGTTTGCAAGAAAACTGCTAATGAACCTTGGGTTTCCTCCTTTGACCCTGCGTGGTTTGAGTCTCACTTCTGTGGAAACCAGCTTGGGGATAACCCCTTACTCATTAACGAAAGAAATAACCCCAGTTCCTCTTCAGTGTGTCTGTTCAGATTCCAGCTCTTTCTATCAGTGCTTCTCTTTAGCCTGCAGCCTCCTCCCCAGCCCTGCTCCCGAATGACAAGGAGTCGCAGAGGTTCTAGATGGGATGAAGAAAGAACCCGCAATTGGGACAAGGCCTTCCCGCATCATTTCAGATGAGTTAATCATCTCTCTAACTTGTTCAGCGAGGCTCAGTGCAAACACCCATTAAAAGAAGAAAAAAAAAAAGAAAGGAAAAGGCAGTTTATGGCATACCGTGCAAGCTTCATTTAAAAAGAAATATGTTCATTTTCAGACGGGTTTAAAATGGGGTTACAACTGAACTCAGCCGCTCTCCCTCTGTGTTTCAATAGCTGAGACAAGGAGAGAACAGAACTAACAACATCTCTCTAATACTTTAGAATAATCAGGCTGCTTTGGCTGGCGTTACACCCTGTCCATGCTCTGGTGAGGGCTCACCTCGGGGCTGCCTCTCTGCAGGCATTTGGCTAGGTTGATCCTATCCGGTCCCAGAATCACATAACCCATCGGCTTGTCCGGATGGGTGCTGCAGCCCCCAGCGCCCGGAGGAGGGTGCCTCCTCCGAGCAGGGTCCTCAGCAGTTCCTGCCACAGAGATAATAAATAATCCCATGTTTGTCAGGTGGCACTAATCTGTGAAAGATCAAACCATCCCTCTGCAGCGTGCGCATCGTGTTTGTCTCCAGACATTTTGCATAGCGGAAGGAAAACAAACAGCAGGGAATGGAAATGGAGCAAGTGGGCAAAGTTCAGCATAAAGTGTAAGCACAGAGCAGATATCGAGGCAACAAATTGGGATTTACAGCGCTTTCACTACCACCAAACACTGGGGGACAGGCTTTGTGGGAGGGGGGAGCCCTGACATTACTTGCCTTTGGTTCCCGTTGTTGGGATTATTGTTTTAAGCCGTGCTTAATTGTCATGTCTCCACGGCCACATCAAAAGCCAAGAAGATTAGGTTACAGGGAGTGTTTGATGTCAAAATACAAAATAAATAAAAGGAAAGCTGAAAAGGTACCATATTTTCCATGATGTCTCGGGAGGGGGTGCCTCAAAGGTCTCTGTTTTTTACTTACTCTCTTCATTTACTTACTTCCAAACGACTCCACTGCTTCCCTGCAGCTGCTCGAAAGGGTTAATATCCCCTCTTTGATGGCAAACGTGGTATAATTAACGCAAACTTCTTAAGTATCCTGGTGACCTGTAGATGGCCACATGAGAATTTTGTTATTTACTGTCTTGCCAAACGTTTATTGCTTATAGCAGGACAAGTGGGAAGCAGGCATTAATTCTGATGCTGTTATCTGTGATTGCGTGTAGAGTTCATAGCAGAGAGTGCCCATACGTCAACTGCAATTAAACATTTCCCTGGGTTTTTAATGAATTTCACGTTGGGGGGGGGGAATAGGGGGGGTGTTGGACTTGCAGCTTTTCCAACTGCAATCCTGCCCATCCGCAGAGCAGGCGTGACACAGCCAGACACGGGACAACTTCCCCTTACCTGCAGGCTGCAAAAGAAAACAGTCTGGCGCCATAGAGCATTTGATCCTTGGCTTCTCCACTGAGACAGTCAAATCAGTACCAACTGTGGCAGGGCACGGAGAGAGGTTTCACGGTGACATCTCCCCTTGGGAACCAGCCTGAAAAACACCAAAAATGAAGGCAAAGTGGCTATCAGGTGAATAAGTTCATTTATTACCAACCTGGACTGGATTAGATGGTGTGACCTAGAAGTAAAAGCTTTGTTTAGCCCAACTCCCTGGGCCATCTGGTGCTTGCAAGTAAACATTTCTAAGTGAGATTAAGTGACTGCTCTTTGAGCATGGTGATACGAGTGCAAGCCAGGCTGCTCTGGATCTAGCAGATCAAACCTCAGCATCAGGGCAGTGGCTGGTGCTGATGCAGAGACTCCATTTGCTTGAACAGCTTTGGGTGCAATTCCCCATGGTGCCGGCGCTGCAGTCAATCCTGATTCGGTCTGTTGCATCCAGGGGTTGTCCTATACCCAGGGCTCAAACGGCACCAAGGTGCTGCTGGAAGGTCGAGGGCCCCATCAGAGGAAGCTTACAGGAGAGACTGCAGTAAAAACCACCCTGCATTTGCAATAAGAACTGAGTTGCGTTTCTGAGCACCAAAAGCTCAGCTGAGCAAAAAACAATTGCAGTGTGGGAGATAGAGCAGGGAAACCATCCAGCAGGTAGGAACACAACAGAGAACTAACCCCTCCTTCAGGGAACGGCTTTGCCATACCACTGAGGGAGGGAACTGCTACTGTTTGGTCTATCAAAAATGAATCAGGGAACTAAAATGTGAACCCAGCCTAGGCAGCAACGCCAGGGAGCAAGAGCTACCTGCAGCCATCCTGCTCCTCTGCCTCTCCCTGTGCTCTGCGCTGCAGGCACTTATCTGGAGGAAAGTTGACTCTGGCTTAGCAGGGTCAAGAGCACGTGTAAATCATTTGGAGTTGGGCCCGTCAATGCCAGATCATGAACATGGACCCTTGTTTCTCCTCCTAAACACTGGAGTGCTTCACTGAGATCTTCCCCAGTGCTTTTATTTCCCCTGGAGCTTCATTCAGCTCTTGACTGCTCTCTGCCAGGCAGAGGGGATGTGGCAGATCTCTCTACCTGAGACACAGGAGCATTGCACTGGCTGTTTTGGCTGTGATTTTTTATCTCTGCTGCTTTCATTCACTCCCACCTGCCTACATTGACATTCTAGGAGCAGGTTATATGGATGGAGTGAATTCAAAGCATCCCTGGAAATCCCTGCTGGACTTTGCTGTGAAATTCAGATTAATTTACCATCTCCCTCTGCATTTCAGCCCATATGCTTATTTTTAATCATATTTTTTGCAGACCCCT